CCAGGAGAAGCTCCTGGCTTCAGATCAGCACGGTGCGCCAGCCACAGCGCGCCGGCCGCAGCAGCCATTGGAGGGTGAACCAACAACAAAAGGAAGACCTTTCTCTCTGTCTCTCTCACTGTCCACTCTGCCTGTCAAAAAAAAAAAAAATACAGAAAGGATAATCTTCTCCCCAAAAAATGAGCAAGCAAGAGAAATGGAAGTAAGTCAATCACATTAGAAGAAATGCAAATGACCAATATACATAAATGAACATTTCTTCAATTTTCTTTCAAAGAAATGCAATATGAAACAACAACAGGCTGCATTTGCTTTATCAAACTGGCAAAAACGGAAACTGACACAATTCTGGCACGAGGAGGAGCCTGGGAAAACGGGTGCCCTCTGCAGGCGAGATGCGGCTCCGTGTCTCTCCTGCAGCGTTGTCCACCGCCTTCCGGCTGTGTGGCCTTGGACCCAGCTGGCCATTTTCCTGGAACTGATTTCGTGGAAGTACCCAGAGATATGTGCAAACATGGATATTCCAAGAAACATCATATTTTAAAAATGATTTAGCTATTTATTTGAAGGGCAGAACAACAAAGACACACAGAAAGAGAGATCTTCCATCTGCTGTTTCACTCCCCAGATGGCCGCAAGAGTCCAGGTTGGTCCAGGCCAAAACCAGAGCCTGGACCTCCTTCGGGGTCTCCCACGTGGGCAGCAGAGGTCCAAGCCCTTGGGCCACCTGCAGCTGCCTTGCCAGGTGCATTAGCAGGAAGCTGGATGAGACCTGAACCGGCACTCTGATATCAGATGCAGCTTAAAAATAGGAAAATGCTGAAAGCCTCCGCCATTGTGTTCATAGTGATAACTGCAGAGGTTTTTGTTCTGTTTTTTTATTTTTATTTTATTTTATTTTATTATTATTTTTTTTTTTGACGGGCAGAGTGGACAGTGAGAGAGAGAGACAGAGAGAAAGGTCTTCCTTTGCCGTTGGTTCACCCTCCAATGGCTGCCGCGGCCGGCGCACTGCGGCCGGCGCACCGCGCTGATCCGATGGCAGGAGCCAGGAGCCAGGTGCTTTTCCTGGTCTCCCATGGGGTGCAGGGCCCAAGCACCTGGGCCATCCTCCACTGCACTCCCTGGCCACAGCAGAGAGCTGGCCTGGAAGAGGGGCAACCGGGACAGAATCCAGCGCCCCAACCGAGACCAGAACCCCGGGTGCCAGCGCCACAAGGCAGAGGATTAGCCTACTGAGCCGCGGCGCCGGCCTTTTGTTCTGTTTTGTCCCTTTGTTTTACCCTCTCCGGAATGGCCAGCTCTTACTTGCATGAGCAGATAAAAAGGAATAGGAATTAATGCTTTATTTTAAAATAATGCGTATAGCCTGGCACCGCGGCTCACTTGGCTTATCCTCTGCCTGTGGTGCTGGCACACCGGGTTCTAGTCCCGGTGGGGGCGCCGGATTCTGTCCCGGTTGCTCTTCTTCCAGTCCAGCTCTCTGCTGTGGCCGGGAGTGCAGTGGAGGATGGCCCAAGTGCTTGGGCTCTGCACCTGCATGGGAGACCAGGAGGAAGCTCCTGGCTCCTGGCTTCGGATCAGCACAGCACGCCGGCCATAGTGGCCATTTGGGGGGGGGGGGGTGAACCAACAGAAGGTAGACCTTTCTCTGTCTCTCTCTCTCTCTCTCACTGTCTAACTCTGCCTGTCAAAAAATAATAATAAAATTAAATAATGCGTATAGTGTCCAGCGCTGTGGCATAGCAGATAAAGCCACCACCTGCAGTGCTGGCATCCCATATGGGCGCCGGTGTGAATCCCAGCTGCTCCACTTCCGATCCAGCCCTCTGCTATGGCCTGGGAAAGCAGTGAAGATGGCCCAAGTCCTTGGGCCCCTGCACCCACGTGGAAGACCTGGAAGAAGTTCCTGGCTCCTGCCGGCGCCGCAGCTCACTAGGCTAATCCTCTGCCTTGCGGCGCCGGCACACCGGGTTCTAGTCCCGGTTGGGGCACCGGATTCTGTCCCGGTTGCCCCTCTTCCAGGCCAGCTCTCTGCTGTGGCCAGGGAGTGCAGTGGAGGATGGCCCAGGTGCTTGGGCCCTGCACCCCATGGGAGACCAGGAAAAGCACCTGGCTCCTGGCTCCTGCCATCGGATCAGCGCGGTGCGCCGGCCGCAGCGGCCATTGGAGGGTGAACCAACAACAAAAGGAAGACCTTTCTCTCTGTCTCTCTCTCTCACTGTCCACTCTGCCTGTCAAAAAATTAAAAATAAAAAAAAGAAGTTTCTGGCTCCTGGCTTTGGATCAGCGCAGCTCCAGGCTTTGCAACCAATTGGGGAGTGAGCCAGCAGATGGAAGACCTCTCTCTCTCTCTCTCTCTCTGCCTCTCCTTCTCTCTGTGTAACTGACTTTCAAATAAATAAATACATCTTTAAAAAATAAAATAACGCTTATGGGGCAGGTGTTTGGTCTAGCAGTTAAGACACCAGGGGAGATGCCCACATCCCACATTGCAGTGCCTGGGTTTGAGACTCGGCTGAGCCCCTGATTCCAGCCTCTTGCTAGTGCACACCCTGGGAGGCAGCAGGTGATCGCTCAATAAACTGGGTCTCTGCCGTCCATGTGGGAAATCTGGCTGTGGTCCCCAGTTCCTGGTCTCAGCCTGGCCCAGTACTAGCGGTTGTGGGCATTCGATGGATGAACCAGAAGATGGGCGCTCTCTTTGTTTCTCAATGTATCTATATCTCTGTTTAAATCATGTTTTTAACAAATTAGAGTTTTCTTTACAAAATGTTTTTAAACTCGGAAATAGCATTGGAAGGTGCTTATGTATGTATGTCAGTTGACAAAAGCAGAATGGAAATTTAACCACAGGCAGAAGTGAACTATATGAAGTACATGAGGATAACTTGAAAAGTTCAGGAATAGATGGAATTAAATAGTTCATATTTTGGTGCAAAACAAATTGAAATCCATGCACAGTTGTTTCATAATATGCATTTTCCACAAACTTCCTCAAGACCCCTATGAACAGATGGATTTCAGAAATTTTATGCACTGAAATAGATTTATTTATTTATTTTTGTTTATTTGGGAGACAGAGACAGAGCGAGCTCCTGTCATTGTCTTGGTTCCCAGACTCCACAAAGGCAGAGGCTGGGCCAGGAGCCAGGAACCCAGTCATGGTCTCAGCCGTGGTGGCAAGAACAGGATGATTTGAGCCAACCCCGCTGCCTCCCAGGGTGTGCACCAGCAGGAAGCTGGAGTCGGGAGCCTGAGAAGATGTGTCTAGTGCCCCGGTGGGCTCTGGAAGGAAATCCGTGAGCGTCGTCCGGGAGTGACTGAAAAGCAGTGATTATTTTAATTTGTGCGGATACCAGTGTCTCCAGTTTCACTGTCCTGTGTGTGTGACATTTAATGCTGAGTTGTGCCAGTGTCCAGCGGGTGACCACGTGTGCGGACGCCCGACCGGCCCGGCCAGCACGCCGCTGTTTGCAGACTTGCCTCCTCTCCCTGGCGGCTCTTGCCTAGCGGCGCCCAGGTTTCCCAGACCTCAGTCTGCGGAGCCCGCGCAGCCGCCCGCGTTCAGGTCTGTGCCATCCACTAGGGTGGGCTCTGGCGCCCCCAGGCGTCCGGCTCTGGAAGCGCACGTAGACGTCCTCGCTTAGAAGACCACCGACCTGCTTGCTCCTTAGGCCCCGCGCCGGTTGCGGCTTGGTGTCTCCGCTGGGGGTTGAGAGACAACGGGCTCCCTTGGTTGAAGCTGCCCATCCCAAATAGGGACACTTTTCTCAAACTCTGCCCTTTTCCTCTTCCATCCCGCCACGGGCCCCAGCCTATGGGGAACCAGGAGTTTTCATCGACTTTAGGGGCCTTTATCCTCTCATAAACTTCTTTTTTTTAATTATTGTATTGATTTGAAAGGCATAGTGACACAGAGCTCTTCCACCCGCTGGTTCACTCCCCAAACGGCTGCAACACGCAGGGCTGGGCCAGGCCAAAGCCAGGAGTCGGGCACCTCATCCCGGTCTCCTACATGGGTGGCAGGGACCCACGGACTTGGTTCATCCTGGGCTGCCCTCCCAGGCACTGTAGCCGGGAGAGCACTTGGACTTGAACTGGCACTCCGATATGGGATTCCAGCGTCACAGGCAGCGGCTTCACCGCCTCGGCCACCCCCACATCCCTCACGTGGGCCCGATTTTGCTTTTTGGTAACCGTCTGGTTTCCCACGGTGCCAGCCAGCCCATTACCTCGCTGGCTGACTTCGCTGTAGGCACATTTCCCCTGGCCAGGGAACACGCTTCAACTTCTATTTTATCACCCGTGTTTTTTGTTTGGAGATGAAGGTGATGAGCCAGAGCAGGGGTTCCGCAGCCAGAATCCTTGGCCTGGGCTGGCTGTGCAGCCTGGGGCACCATTCCACGCAGCCCCCATTTTCGGGCGGCAAAGGGCACAATGAGCGAGGCCCCAGGCAGTGTGCAGGGCACAGGAGCAGCCTGCGCCACTTTCCCTCAGCTCCCTTTGGAGACACGCCCGTCAGAGTCCAGGATCCCCTGGTTCCCCCACGCTGAGCGCGCAGGGATACCCACCGCTCCTGGGCAGATCTGCTCCGCGCCTGCTCGCTCCTCCCCAGCCGTCCTCGCTCCCAGGTGCTGAGACGCCACCACCCTCACTCAGCCTGGGCTCTCAGATCCGGCCTGGCTTTCCCGGGCCGGGGGGAGCGCCGGTTGGATGGAGGCAGTCACAGAGGGAGCGCCCCCTTCCGGCAGCCCTCTCTGGAGGACTTCGCCGGGCAGGCGGGCAGCACTCACGTCTAAGCCGGCCCCCCGCCAGCCACCTCTGAGTGCCCAGGTGAACGCTGGAGGTACCCTGAGAGCCTCATCTCCTCGCACATCCCTCAGAGCAGGGCTGGGCAGGGCTGGGCAGCCCTGCGCGGGAGGATGTAGTGACCGCCTGGCCCGTGTATGTGAGTGCGCGCGCGCGTGCCACCAACAAAGACACCACACAGCCAGGGATAGAAACAGCTAGTGTATTGACTGGGGGAGGCGACAGGGGTGCAGATGGGAAGGGGACACGCGGCTCCTTAGTGTTTGCCAGGCACCACCGCCACACACCCTGGGCCCCTGGCTTCCGCCTCTGCGCTGGGGCCCAGCAGGCTCTCCTTTCCTTTCCCGCTCCTTCCTCCGTGCCCTGCATGTGACCTTGACACACAGAGCCCACCCAGCCTCCATCCTGAGCTCGGCTCCAACTAACCCTCTTCTTCCCCCCCACTTTCACCTCGCGCCGCCGCCTTCCCATCTCTTGTCTAAAGAAAGTGCATGTAAAGCAAGCGCAGCGAGTTCCTGGGAGGCGGGACTCACCCCGGGGAGGGGACAAGGGTGGGGACAGGGGCAGGGCGGGCAGCGGAGCCTCTGCTGCCTTGTGCAGCAGGAACGCGGCTCTCCCTCTCCCTCCCAGGGGCTGACCTGGGGGGGGGGGGGCGAGGAAGGCTCCACACCCGCCTCTCAGGCACCATGACACGGGGGTCCCGGGGGTCCCGAGGTGGGGGGCGGCAGCCGAGGCAGAGAAGCGGAAACCAGGCTCTACAAAAGCACCCCCCTCCCCGCCGCTCCTCTTTGGTTTTAAGGCAGTCGTTGAGTTTCCTGGAAGCAGGGCAATGGAAGGGAGCAGAAAGCGGGATGTAGCTTTTTTTTTAAGCTTGTTTTTTCCTTCAGTATAAAACCACTGTAGAAAATAACTTTTCTTAGAAAAAAAAATACAGAAGAAAAAAAACCAAAGGGGGGGGTCATTTTCTTTGGCTTCAAGCCCCTCCCCTAAGTGCAGGGCAGGGGTGGGGTGGGCACGAGGTGAGGAAGAAGCAGGAGGCCTGGCCCCACCCCCGCCGGCAGGTTCCCCGCTGATTACATGATGCGGCAGTTCTGCGGGCTCTAGGAGAGAAGACACAGGGAGAGGCGTGAGTGGCCGTGTCCTGCCCCCGCCCCCATCGGGGACCCCAGCCCTGCCCCCCGCCCTCCAGTCTGGGGCGCAGACGGGAGGGGCAGGACGCAGGCGTGGGCTGCCTAGGACGTGGGTGGGCTAGGGGAGGAGGCTCCCACTCCCCCGGGCTGCGGAAGAGAAGGCTCTCCCGCCTCCCCCCTGGGAGGGTGGCCAGGGTCCCGCCTGCAGGGTGTGCACACAAAGGCATGACTCACCTGAGTTCGGGGACTGGAGTTGCCCAGGAGGTAGGAGCGGGTGACCAGGTTGTCCCCGAAGCTGCCACCCCCACTGCCCCCCACACTGCGGTAGCTGCGCGTGACCGTGACACTGGAGGCGGAAGAGCCAGAGGAGATGGATCCGCCCACCTGGGCTCCCGGGCCGCCGGCAGACGCCTTGTCGGCGGGCTGCCCGCAAGTCCCGCACAGCACGGTGCGCGAGCGCAGGTTGTACTCAGCGGGGTCCCCCGAGCTGCTGCAGTGGGAGCCCTGGGGAGGGAGACAAGGCTCAGGCGGGACTGGCCGCTCAGGCCCAACACCCAGGCTGCGGGCTCCTGCAGGCTCCCAGCCACCAGCAGGCGGGGAGGAGGCCGTGTTCTGTGCCCGAGGAGGCCGGGAGGAGGGGGAGGGGCGCCGTGAGCCGGGAGAAGGGTCCAGAAGCCTTGGGGACAGGATTTGTGGCTTGGGTGCTGCTCTAGCGCCTCTGAACTGGAGAGGAAGAGGAGGACAGAGGAGATGCGAAAGGGCAGCGGCATGCAGTTAGCTGGCGGGCAGGGGCAGGGCTGAGAGAAGATGAGAAGTGAGAGGCCTTGCATGCAACAGCCAGGAGCGCTGGAGAAACGGGGCAGGGCGGGGCGCCCCTCCTCTGTCCTGCCACACTCGGTCCTCCGTGGCATCAGAACCGTCCCACTGCCTGCCTTACCGCAGTGGGCACCCGGGCACTGGGCTCCCCGTCCAGGGTATAGGAAGGGAGGAGAGAGAAGAAAGGCCAGGGCAGCCAGTGAAGTTCCAAAACATTCTTTAATGAAAAGATTTTTGGGCGTGAGGGGCTGCCCCCAGGTCTGGCCAGGCTTGGCCTCAGCGGCGGCTGCCACTCACATGGTGATGATGGAGCAGGTCATCTCCATCCTCGTCGTCGTCGTCCTCCACCACAGTCACCGAGCGCACCAGCTTGCGCATGGCCACCTCCTGCCAGGGACACAGACCTGAGGGTGAGGGGCCACACGGGGCCGGCGGGGGGGTGGGGGCGGCGTGCGGCACACCTACCCACGGGGACCGCCAGCAGCCGGCCTGCTGCTGACCCTGCCCTCTGTGGGGCCGGCGCTAAGGAACTTGCTCCCACCCCAGGGAGGCACAACCACCACCCCCACCCCCACCCCCACCCCCCGTAGGAGACCGGCAAAGTGACCGTCCGACTGTGGCCACTAGGGGGAGCCCTGCCCAGCCCGCAGCACACTCACTTCCCCAGTGGAATTGATGAGAGCCGTGCGCAGGCTGTTTCCACAGCCCCAAGTGTTCTGCGCCTTCCACACCAGGTCGGTAGGGGGGCTGTGGGTGGCCCCGGCTCCAGCAGCCCAGATCTGGAGAAAAGGAAGCGGGAAAGGGCACTCACTCCGTGCTACTGTCCTCAGGCCCGTCCTCCACACACACACACACACACACACACCCCGCCCCAGGCTACCGCAGGGCGCCAAGCGCCCTGCCACTCACCGTCACCACCTGCCCGGCCTTCAGGGTGAACTTGGGCGGGAAGCGGTAAGTCAGCAAGGGGTCATCTCCGTTTTGGCGCTTGATCTGCCAGTTGCCCATGGACTGGTCCTGCCAGGCAGGGAGGGAAGGGGGAGAAGGGGAGGTGTATCCTGGTTCTTTGGGTTAATCTCACCCGCTGCCGGCACTCAGAGGCTCCTGGTCCCTCTACCCCATTACTGCCTTGCCCCCCCCCTACTAAAAAACAGCCGCCACCATGGACTTCATGGTGCGCCATCTTTCACCTGGGGGCTATCACTCATGTCCATTTTACAGATGAGCAGACTGATCCCCCGAGAGGCGACATAACTTGTCCCAGGTTTCCCAGGCAGGACTGGAACCAGGGAGCGGGAGACATACACACTGGCCCTGGCTGCCCGCAGAGGGAATGAAGGAAGGGTCCTCCCGGGTTCCCTCCGCCCTTCCTCTTGCAGTATCCCCTCAGGCCCCGCCCGGGATGGGGTGTGGTGGGGAAGGGGCGGGGCTACCTCATTGGACTTGTTGCGCAGCCGCACAAACTTGCCCTCCTCATCCACCTCCTCCACTGCCACGCGCCCGCTGGTGCGCGCGTGCTGCGAGAAGCTGCTGCGGCTCTCGGCCGACTCCAGCTTCCGCTTCTTGGTGATGCTGCCCCCGCCCTGCGTCTGGGACGAGTGCGAAGAGGCACGGCCCCTGCGCTGCGAGGTGGGACTGGGGGACAGGCGTAGCCTGGGGAGGGGAGGAGACAGAGTTAGGGGAAGGGGTCTCATGCAGGCCCGGCGCAGGCCAGGGCCTATTGCTGGAGCTCCCGGGTGCTCCCCAGCCCACCTCTCCTCCTCGCCCTCCAGGAGCTTGCGGTAGGCATGGATCTCCATGTCCAGGGCCAGCTTGATGTCCAGCAGCTCCTGGTACTCGTCCAGCTGCTGCTGCATCCTTGCCCGCATCTCGGCCATCTCCCGCTCTTTCTCCGCCAGCAGCCGCCGGCTGGTGTCCCGCTCCCGGGCCAGCGAGTCCTCCAGGTCCCGCAGCTTCGCTTCCTTGGCTGCCAGCTGAGATGGGGAGAGGCGGGGGTGTGTGAGCTCCCGAGGGGAAAATCAACACGCCCTAGACGTGCAGGTGCAGTGAGACAAAGCGGACAGGACACTTGCTTCCAAATCCTGGGCCCCAGCTCATTCTCTCGGCCTGCAGTCCTGGAGGCGTGCTCATCTCTCCCCTCCCCTCCGCCCTCCAGACCTCACCCTGGGTGCCCCCCCCATCCGTGCTGTCCCCAGAGGCACCTGCTTCTGCAGCTGGCTGAGCTGGGCCGAGAGGCTGTCGATGCGGATGCGGGACTGCTGCAGCTCCTCGTGCGCGGCCCCCACCAGGTTGCTGTTCCGCTCAGCAGACTGCCTGGCGTTGTCCAGCTGCGGGGAAGGCCGGGGGGGCGGGGGGAGTTTAGGAGGGCGGGGCCTGAGGACGGCATTGCTGGGGCGGCCTCAGATCCCGGGGTGGGGTGTGGGGGGGGGCACCTTGGCGGAGTAGGTCTTCTCCAGCTCCTTCTTGTATTGCTCCACCTGGTCCTCGTGCTGGGCCCGCAGTTCCTGCAGCGCGTCGGCCAGCCGGCTCTCAAACTCGCGCTGCTTCCCGTTGTCGATCTCCACCAGCCGGGTCTCGTGGCGCCGCTTGGTCTCACGCAGCTCCTGGAAGGGGTGGGAACAAGGACACGGAACCCATAAATCGGCCCCCGTTCCTTACAGCTCGGGCCTGGCCCGGCCCCCTGGCCCCGGCATCTCCAACCCCCATGCGCAAGCCCCACCTCGCTGTAGATGTTCTTCTGGAAGTCCAGCTCCTCCTTCAGGGTCTGCAGCCGGTTCTCGGCGTCCACTCGCCGCAGCATCTCGTCCTGCAGCTGCTTCTTGGCCTCCCCCAGGGCTGCCTCGAGCTAAGAGGAAGTGGGCAGAGGGGTCACGGGATGTGCCAGCTGCAGCGATGCCGAGCCCCAGGCCGTTCCCAGCGGGTCCCTTCCATGCATAGGGACAGGTCCAGGGGGAAGCGAGGCCTTGGGGTGCCCGGGGAGGTTAGGATGGGGATGACTTGGGTAGCTCTTGTGCTAAGAAATGAAAGCCACAGCCCTCCCACCCTCGTAAGACCTCCAAACTGTGGCACAAGATAGCAGTTGCTAGGAGGGCGGTGTGTACAGAGCACAGCGGGGAAGGAACCAGTGTGGCTGGAGTGGTGGAAGAAGGGGTCTGGGAGGCTTGATAGGGCAGCCTGGGGAGGGGCCAAGACAGCACGTGCAAAGGCACGGGGCTACGAAGGCACACACGTGTTCTAGGGCCTTCAGCTGATGGATGGGGCGGTGAAGTGATGGGTCATACAGAGATCCCTTTTTCAAAATTAATTAGATTTTTTATTTATTTGCGGGAAGAGAGATCAGCCATCTGCTGTTTCACTCCCCAAATGCCCACAACAGCCAAGCCTGGGGGAGGCTGAAGCCAGGGGCGGAGAACTGCATCTGGGTCTCCCATGTGGGAGCCATCCCTGCTGCCTCCTGTTCGCATTAGCAGGAAGCTGGAATAGGGAGCAGAGCCGGGACTCGAACCTGCTCAGCCACACCCGTGCCTTCTGCAGAGCTGTCTTTATCTGCCACGGAAAGAACCTCTGAGAAGCTCATACTGGGCAGCACCCTGCTCAGATGTTTGTTCTAGAAAGCACGGGCTGGGGGAAGGGTGGAGCTGGCGGCAGAAGATCCAGGAGGCCAGCTGAGGTTTTGTCATCGTCCGCTGGCATCTCCCATCTCCCACGGCTGTGCTATGGCGGCAGGGCCTGGGAGGGGACCCGGTCTGGGATGGAACCCTGGCCACTGACTCTAGTCGGGACCGTGCCCCGAGAAGACCATGCTGTGAAACTGGGAAGGGGCTGGCTTCTTCTATTCTGTTCCCTGGCTTATAACATGAGAGGCTGGGGGAGAGACAGAGAGCCAAGTGTTCTGAAAGTAAAGGCCACTGCACGCGTGCAAGCACCATTAACACGCACCGTACATGTGATAACATGCCTCTCACATGTGATCTGCCCCCAGCTCCTGATAACGGCCTCAGTGGACGATCTACCCCTTACAGAGAAGTCACAAAGCATCCAAAGGAGGACCAAGCTGGGAGGGAGCTAGGGCCAGGCTCAGCTCATTGCAGAGTTAGAGGGAAATGGCTGGGGGCGGGTGTTGGGAGTATCGGAGGAGACACTGCTAGGGACATCTGCATCCCATGTCCAAGTGCTGGGCTCCACTCCTGATCCTTCCTGCTATTGCTCACCGCGGGAGGCAGTGGTAATGGCTTAAGTACTTGTGCACATGCTGTCCACATGGGAGACTGAATGGAGTTCCAGGCTCCTGACTTTGGCCTGGCCCAGTCCTAGCTGTTGTGGCCATTTGGGGAGTGAATCCATGGATGGATAATCTACCTCTTTCTCTCTCTCTCTGCATTTCATATAAATAAATAATAAATAAATAAATATTTTTAAAGAAAAGATGGTGAGTGAATGGTGCAGCTGCTAAGGCACCCACATCCCATATTGGAGTGCCTGCGTCAGAGGCCCAGCTTCCTGTTAATGCACACCCCGTGGCAGCAAGTGATGGCTACAATAGTCAGGTCCCTACGAACCATGTGGGAGAGCTGGATGCAATTCCAGGCTATAAGCCACTGTTGCAGGCATTTCCAGAATGAAGCAGTGGATGGTAAAATCTCTTTACCTTTCAAATAAAATAAATACAGGCTGGCGCTATGGTGTAGTGGGTAAAGCCGCTGCCTACAGTGCCAGCATCCCATATGGGCACTGGTTTGGGTCTTGGCTGCTCCACTTCCAATACAGCTCTCTGCTATGGCCTGGGAAGGCAGTAGAAGATGGCCCAAGTCTTTGGGACCCTGCACCCATGTGAGAGACCCGGAAGAAGCTCCTGGCTTCTGGCTTCAGATCAGAACAGCTCCGGCCATTGTGGCCATCTGGGGAGTGAACTACTGGATGGAAGACCTCTCTCCCTTTCTCTCTCTCTCTGTGCCTCTGCCTTTCTGTAACTCTGTCTTTTAAATAAATAAAAGAAACCCACCACTTTGTCTTTAAAAATAAATAAATAATAAAAATTTTTAAAAGGAAATGGTTGGTGGGTTATTTGGTTTTTTTTAACAAGACTTTTTAAAAATTTCTTCATTTATTTGAAAGGCAGAGATCATCCACCTGTTGGTTCACTCCTCAACTGGCCACAAAGGCCAGGGCTGGGCCAGTCCGAAGCCAAGCTGGACTGGAAGCGGAGCTGCTGGGACTCCAAGCAGCACTCTGGGGCTGGTACCTGGTGGATATTTTGTTTTTTATTCACTGTGCTACATCCAATGAGTGAAAGAATACAGTCTGAATGAGTGACATGACACCAGCACAGGTGACCGGCTGACACCACGTGGCCGCCCAGCTGGGGTGGGAGAGTGGGCAGCTGGAGGGGCTCACCTTGGCCACCTGCCCCCGCAGGTCGTGCAGCTCGCCCTCCAGCGTGCGCTTCTCACTGAGAGCGGTGCTCAGCGCCGCCTCCTTGGAGTTGAGCAGCGCCTCCAGGTCCTTGAGCCGGGCCTGGGCGGCCATCAAGTCACCCTCCTTCTTGGTGTTGCTGGGGAAGAGAGGGAGGAGTGGGTTTAGAAGGCCAAGTCCATGTCCCTGGAGAGGGCACCAGAAGCAGCCCTGGAGGCTGGCGCTGCTGTTCCTGGCGACCAGGAGGGGGCGGCCTTGCCCTCGGTCTGTGTGCATCTGCCTGCCTCTGGGGCCCAGCTCCCACTTCCCCCAAGGTCCCCGAAAACCCCCTTCCTGTCTCTCCACCCTTCCCATGACTCAGAGCCCAGGAACGTGCCTGGGGCCAAGGGCAAAGCTGGAGCCCCAGATCTGAATGCTTTTCCCCGGCTCTCCTCCCATTCCTTCCAAAACACACAGGGGCACCTTTGTCTCTGCCCCTTCCCACACAGGGCCTTACCCTTCTCCTCCCAGGACTCCACCCATTTTCCATTCAGCCAAGCCTCCCTCCCTCTAAGCAGCCTGACAAGCAGGCTCCCGTCCCCACCCCACCCCCATGCCGGGGTTCACGTGTCCCTGACACCTTGGAGCCCCCTTTCACACAGGTGGCACTGTGGGGAAGGAGAGCGAGGAGAGCCCACACACAGGCACTGTGCTGCCCCTTCCCTTTCTCAGGACCTAGCCTGGGTCCCCCAGCTCAAGCAGAGCAGACGGGTTCCAGTCTCTGTCTCTGCAGCACCATGGGAGCCCCAGGGGAATACTGAGCCCCACCCAGGGCCCATGAGCCTCAGCATCTGGCTCCAGATGTGCTGGCCAGGCCTCCAGGTCCATCTGGGCTCCAGCCGCCAGGCAGCCTCCCCACTCCTCACACTGGGCAGAGCTTGAGCCAGAGCCCACCCAAGGGGGTGGCCTTTGCCGCCTCCCTTGCCTGTCTGGGTCTCAGAATCTCTTTGCTGGTGCCATGGAGAACGACAGGGGTCCCATTTTCTTATAAACTTCTGGGGAGCGCAAGGACTTTGCAGACATCACAACCCCTTCATTAATGAATGCAGGGTGAAAGAAAGCAGGAGACGTAAGGGCGGAGGAAAAGATGCAAGCACTCGGTCCCAGATACCATCTGTAAGTCATCAGCCCGCAGCCTGAGCCCCCACCACAGCACATGGAAAAAGGAAAACTAAACGTGGGCGGGAGTGGGTGGGGGCACCCAGCCCAGAAAGCAGAAAAAAAAAATCCCTGCCAACATTCTTCTCTTGCCACAAGAGCCCCGAGCGAGCGCCAACACACCCAACAGCTCACTCGGAGGCGGGATGGAGGACAGACTCGCGAAAGGTCTGGAGGGAGGGGCCAAGACCTGGCCATGTTCTCCCGCCACCAGCTCGGGAGATTCTAAACGTGCAGTCCCCTGAGTTGAGCGGGCTCCCCGTGTTGGTGTTGATGTTGGCAGAGGCACAGAGCGACACCCAGAGGGGCAGGGGAAGGACACGACGGCCTGGAGGGAGCGCCCAGCCTGAGCCGGGCCTCTGGACAAGTTGCTTAATGCAACACCGTCTGTCTGCTGCAGGAAAAAAAGGGGGGGGGGGGGCTCCCAGAGTCGGAGGACGACTCCCTCCTCCGTCTCAGCCCGAAAAGCTAAAAATAAAGTCAAACCCCAGCTCAGGTTTTGGCTGCCATCCGGCCCAGCCCCTGGCTGGGAGCACAGCCCCAACTTTCCATGACTTCAGAACTTTTCCGAAGCCGAGACAGCTGCAGGGGGAGGAGAGAAAATGAAGAAAAACGGCTGGGAAGGCGAAGTGCGTGGCAGGCATGGGTGCCGAGCCCCTTGGGCGGGCTCCCAGGCAGCCAGGGGCTTTCCAGAAGAGGCCTCTCCGCCCTGGGGACTAACGGCCACTGCTGGCAGGGTGGCAGATGTGGAACTTCGGAGAACTAGAAGGAGCTCACAGCCTCCGGGCTGCACAGAGCCGGGACCAGAGGGTGCAGGGGTGGGAGGTTTACGGCCCCGTGTGTCCGGCACTGCCAGCAGCCTTCTAATTAATTCTCGATGCCCACCTAGGACAACTCCTACAACTCACAGGTCTAGAGGGCGTGCCGAAGCCAGGAGAAGGAAGGAGAAGATTCTGTGCTCCGCCAACCTGAGTGGGCAAGAGCAGGAAGGAGCCCAGGGAGGCTGGCGGGGCCCCTGCCGCTGCCTCCCCGCCCTCCCGAGATGCTACGGGCGGAGCTCCTGGAGGTCTCCTTGCTAACACCCTTTCCTGGGCCGAGAAAGACAGTGGGGTACGGTCCCCGTCCCCTGGGACCTCGTGGGCTGACACACACACAGGGACCGTGTTCTTCTGTCTAGGCTCTGCCCCGTCCTGCTGCCCCCAAAGCAGACGTGGCGACAGTGCTGACAGTACAATGGCAAACACTTGTACGCAGCCCATGATGGACAAGGACTGCTCTGAATCTTCACAGCCACCCCGCAACCAGGGCGCTGACCAGGGCGCCGTCACTGTGCTACTGAGGCACAGAGCGCTCCATCCAGGGTGCCGCAGGGAGCCGGCAGCAGAGCCAGAGCCGAAGCCGTACTGGCCAGCGCGTGCCATGATACACAGCCTCCAACCAGGCTTTGAGGTGGGGGGCTCTCCCAGTTCCTCTGGGTGGCTCCGAGCGGTGCTGGAGAAAGGGATGGGAAGCCAGCACGCCCCACCGATGAGGAAAACCGCGAGCAAAGAGAGGGAAGCGAGGAAGAGCCTTTGCGGTTTCCTCAGTGAGGCCCAGGGAGCTCCCCTCTGTGGGGCAGAAGCCACCATCAACCATGGGCTCATGACTCAGACCTCCGGAGGTCTGCAGCCACAGCCTCACGCACACCCCAAGACAGGGCTGGGGGCAGGGTGGAGCCCGGAGGCCTGCCCGCCACCCATGGGCACTGCCTTCCTCCGTGGGGGGGCCGGGGAGCAGGGAAGGGCGGGAACCTGGGGCTGCTCAGGTGACTCACGCTCTGACAGACAATGGGGGGCAGGGGGCGGGAAATCCTCTAGCACTCACAGGGGAGCCCCTGGCTCAGCCTGGTGCCCTGCCCCCGGGCCTGAGGTCTTTCCTCTGGCGCTCCAGGTTCCCCAGGCGCAGGAGCGGCCACATCCCAGCGGCCCTGAGAGGCAAGAAGGGCTGGGCATCCTGTTGGACTCATCCCACGGCTGGCAAATGCGATCAGGGCAGGGAAGGAGGGAGTGCTGGGGGAGGGGAGGGCAAAAATTAGCCGGAGGAAGGGTGAGCCAGTCAGAGCGGCCCAGGGCTGGGGGGTCTGTGGGGCTGGGACCGGCGGCGGCACGGGCAAGTCCGATCCCGGGCCGCTGTTGGGCTGCTTTTGGGGAGAAGCGACACCGGCGAGCGCCGCAAGGGGCTGAGCTGGCAGCGGGCCAGGCGCTGACCCGCCCGCTGAGTCACCCTCCTCAGCCCAGCTCCGAAGCCAGATATGGAAGCCAGGGCCAACCGCCCGCCTGTTTGGACCCGGTTGCTGGGAGCAACACGCTAGGCCCGCAGGGAGAGGCCTCCATTTCCTCCCAGGCCTGGGAGACAGAGACAAGACGGACAGAGTGGCGGCCGCGGCTAAAAATAAGAAGTGGGAGGGGAAGACGGCCCAGGGGGGCGTGGCGGAGCTGGCCCCGCCCCGCAGGGGCTTCCTCAAACCCGCCCTGTACCCTGGTCCCCTGGCGCCGCCGCCTCACCAGCCCTCGGAGTTCCCCATGCCTGGCAGCCTCCCGACTGGGGACCCCGGGAGGAAGGTGGGATAGTAGAGGCGTCTGCGCCCGGGCATTTCCTGCCTCGCGGCAGTGGGCGCCCCCTGTGCCCGGGAAGGGCCGGGCAGGTGGGTGCCAGGTAGTCCCTGCCCTCGGCTGGCTGCCGCCCAGACCTCTGCCCAGCCTGACTTCCTGCTGCACGACCTGCCAGCACGCTCCGACCTCCCCTGCTTTTGTTCCAGGCACTCCTGCCACTGTAAAATATCCTTCCTTCCTTCCACTGATCCGTACCCGCACCTACACCCACACCTCTGCCCGGCCCTGCCCGGCCCTGCCTGGCTCTGCCGCTTTACTCCTCTGTCTTGGGCTTTCTTTGCCTGTCTCTTGACTGCCCTGAGGCTACATGGCTTTCTTTTTATTATTATTTTTAAGATTTATTTATTTTGGCCGGCGCCGTGGCTCAATAGGCTAATCCTCCACCTTGCGGCGCTGGCACATTCGCTCCCTAAATGGCCACAACAGCCAGGGCTGGGCTAGGCTGAAGGCAGGAGCCAGGGACTACATCTGGGTCTCCCAACTGGGGGGGGGCAGGGGGAGTCACAGGGGCCCCAGCACTTGTGTCATCTTCTGCTGCTTTCCCAGATGCATTAGCCAGGAGCTGGGTGGGAAGTGGAGCAGCTCAGAGGCACCCACTGTGCCATGACACTGGCTCCCAGGTTCTTAGTGCATCCAGAGGGACCTCCTCCTGGACCCAGGTCACCTGAGGACACCCACAGCAGACAGAACACAGAAAATGGCTGCATGTACACAGCTGGCACAGGGAGTAATAAAGAGATCCAGTAGGAGAGCCTAGGGGACATACTGACCTGGGCTCCACTTACTGGGAGACACCTCTGTCAGAGAGTGACAGGGCGCACCTGCCCTGCAACCACTGGGGGTACAGCCATCAGGTTTGCCAATCCCTCCCAACCCCCAAAAGGTAACCACTGCTTGGCTTCTTGGTCTGCGGCCACTTTCAGTGAGGGCAGGATGTGGGCAGTTGGCTTCCCCATCCTGGCATTCAGGGCACCGTCCCTCTCTGGAAACGAGACCTGTAAAAGAGGAACTGAGGGGCTGGCATTGTGGTGCAGTGGGTAAAGCTGCCACCTGCGACACTGGCATCCTATACGGGCGCTGGTTCCACAGCCAGCCACTCCACTTCCAATACAGCTCCCTGTTAATGCCTCTGGGAAAGCAGCAGAAGGTGGTCCAAGTGTTTGGGCCCCTGCACCCACATGGAGATGCAGATGAAGCTCCTGGGTCCTGACTTGGGCCTGGTCTAGCCATCACTGTTGTGGCCACCTGGAGAGTGAACTAGAAAATGGAAGATTTCTCTCTCTCTGTCTCT